GTATTTCCATTCTTCCTGTTATTGTCCGCAAAGGGGGTTGGAGTGGTGAGGAAGAGGGAGACGACGAATGCGAGCCCGAAGCTTTGCCGAGTTTTGCCGAAGCACACGCTGCATTGGCGAAAGTGAAGTTGTTCTTTTATGCGCTTAATATTAGTGAACGTGACGAAGAAAACATTTTGAACGTGGAAAGTGCTCTGTTTGGTCTAAAACGTAAAGTTTCGACAAACCAGTTGTCCATTAAAGACTTTTTTGGTAAAAAGAAGTAACTTTGAAAGAGAAACATTGTTTTTTTTTTAAATTTTTAATGCTTTCCCGCATCTATCGTTTTTATTTCCCACCCCCGCCGAAAACGATGCATCGAGGTTTCACTGTATTCACTAAGCTGATGTGTATAGTGATGTACCAATTCAGCTAAAGGCCATCACTTCATTTGTGTATTGGATAAGTATTTTGCCATTTTTAAGTCCAGCGCATCAGTGCCAACTTTTCTTGGAAAAGGAAGGTCCATTTCAGGTTTCAGCATTTCCTCATCTGTGCTTTAAAGACCGTATTGTTTTGGTACTTATGACAGCAGAGATTCATGAACTGAGAACATGTACTTCCTGGCTCCCTTTCTTTTGATGGCTGGAACTTTGGAAGAACCTCCTTTTTATTTCTCAAAAGTTTGTTTATAGCCCAGTCCTCATTGTTTCAATTCTTTTATTACTCATCTGAAGAGATCAGTTATTCACTGTAACATTTCTGTGGAAATCCTCTATCAGCTTTGAAATATGAAGGATAGACTAATTTTATTTTCCAAGCTTCCTTTCATAATGTGTTAGCCCTACCTGTGCGGTGATGCCACCTGATGTGCTGACTAAAGCCATATTTTATTCGAGGAGCAACAAGCATTTCTTCAGTACAGAGCAAGGCAGGTCAACTTTGATTTGTGTGTTCAAATTACTTACATACAAACTGCAGATTGCCTTCCCAAAAACTGAAACAGTTCATTAATTTTTTCTGTGGCCTGAGTGTAGTTCCTGTCCTTGACTAGATTTTATTTGTATCAGTTGAAACACCAATCATTTTCTGGAATTGTCAGCCAGCCAAGGATGAGATTTAAGTGTCCATGGTGTCCGGTAAAGTGTTAATCCATCCATCCTATGGCACTACAGCCCAAGGTCGGGCCTTGGCCTCCTCCCTTGTTTGAGGTTTCCTGGTTTTTGCAGTGTGCATCTGTGAGTAGTGAGTGACTAGCCCACTGCCTCTGCATAATTTTTATTCAATCCGGATTTTGTCTGATAGACCCATCTAGTAGAGAATCAGGAGAGGTATGGGTGGAAATGGCTGCTGAATTTTGCTTACGAAACATCTCGTTGATGCTTGTAAGGCTCTTTTACACATTGTAAATCTACGACATGGGACTGCTGGCTTTACTTCCCCTCTAAGGGAAGTTGTGCTACGGTTTTTTATCACCCTTAAAAATCCGTCGGCCTCTGCTGGGTTTGAACCAGGAACCTTGGGTCCAGTGGCAATCACGTTAACCACTAGTCCACTGAGGGCGACAAAGTGTTAATTACAGCTTGCTTTTCTTGGTCCTGTGAAAGTTGTATGTCAAAGTTTTATTCAATCCTTTTGTGCTCTGGCCAACTTGTGAGTTTTCTCTGTTTCACAGGCGAGCAGTGTCAGTAATAGAAAAGCAGTTTGTAAATATGTGTGTAGAGGAACAAGATATACTGGGTACACCAGGAGCAGTGCAGAAGTTTCTGAGCCTGATTCCTGATGAACCAATGAGACAGGAGTTGGGAAAGGAACTTCAGAAACAATCCACGTCCAAGCAGCGGTGGGATGCAGTCACAAAATATGTCGGAGATCTTAGAGGGAAGGTAGCTGGAATGTTGTACTGTATTTCAGTTGTTAATTAGATGTATGACCAGATTTAGTGAAGTCTTTTCTACATAGATGGTTCAGATTTAATCTGGAAGTATGATCATAGCATGTCAGTAAATTGTCTTGCATGTTGTCTGTTAGGCAGTCTTCTCAGGGTACTTTTTTTTATATACACAATTGTCCCACCCTGTGTGACTACAGAAATGGCATCCAAGCATGTTGTTTACAAGAAACTATGGAAATTCTGGTCAGATTTAAATCAGCCTCATACATTTCTAACTTTTTGTTCACTGTTGTTTTCTTTTAGGTTACTCAGTTTCTGTTTTGCTACAGAGCTCACATTTATGCAGCAGACATTTTCTTGGAACAGTAGAACATCTGATAATAAAGCATGGAAACTTTTGCTTGTATTAAGTTTAATTTTTTTCATTAGATATTGCGCAATTTAACTTTACTTTTATAACATAAGAAAATTATTATTTACAATTTCTGAATCTTAGGGTGAATGTAAGGGTGGTAAGTGGTCTAAATAACGAAATTAATATTTTTCAGATTTATTTATGCATCCAAGGAGTTTTGTAAGAACAAGAGTTACGCAATGAATGTATTTATTTCATATGTTTTGGAATCATTAAAAATTCACTTGAAACTGGAAGCAAAGAAATCTCCACATTTAACCAAATATGATAATTTTTGTTGATGTTCGTCTTCTAAGTTGTAACACTTTGTGGACTTGTGGGTAGATACCAGCGTTTGAAAGGAATATACTGCTTCCATCTTTATCTCTGAAGATGGAGGCAGTATATTTCTCCAAAACGTCAGTGTCTGCCCACAAATCTATGTGGTGTCACAATCCAGAAGACCAACGTCTTCACTGCTGAAAGAGCCCAACATATCATATGATCTGTTTGGATTGGAAGAAGAATGAGAGGACAGTCATAATTTTCTAATATTTTGCAAAAATCGTGAACCCTTTTGAATTAAATAAGAATTTAATTTCTCTCCCTGTCATCTTTAGAAAGGGTGAAGGGCAAAATAATAACATTACGGGTACCTGATGATTAATCTTTTTTTTTTTGTCTACAGGGACAACTTAGACGACGTCGCCAGTTCTTATTAGAAGAAATAATGTTGCAATATGCCTACCCTCGGCTGGACATAAACGTCACGAAAGGGCTAAACCATTTACTTAAATCACCATTCTGTGTCCATCCTAAGACAGGAAAAGTGTGCATACCTTTCAGTCCTCGAGCAGCTGAGAAGTTCAATCCATCCACTGTCCCTACTATAAGGTGAATTAACTAGCACAAGAAAAGCTCATTTTCACCATCAGTGTTCAAAGTAGCATTAATAAAACTGTGTAGGTTTTATAAGTTCTCAATATTATTATGTCATCAGCCTCCATCTTACATGATCCTATTGGATACTGTACCAAAGGTTTTGGAATTGAGAGTGAATGACTGTTTTATGATCTAAAAGAGATTTTGGAAAACAGATTTTAGTTTTCACTGGATTAAGATTGTCGTACTTAATTGCGTAATACACAATTTTCTCGTTCAAAATTTTATGATCAAATAACTAGGTGAATGATTTATGTGAATATTTTTGAAATCAGTTTCAAAACTGTTTAATTTACAACAAAAGATAGCTCATTTCAGCCATTTAAATTCCTTGTTTTAGTACTAGTGTGAAGTCTTCTTTCCTTCATGCAGTACTGTTTCTAATTCGTTGCTTCACATGGCTGCAGGGTCATGCTGAGGCACTGAGTGCTACATGTGCCCATTTTACTTATATTTATTTGCTTGTACTTTGCTACCCTTTTGAAATTTAAGAAACAGCTGTTTGCACTGTCATTGTCCTTCATATATAGGAATATACAGGCTTCTGTCTTTCTTAATTATGCGATGCTGTTATGTGCTGCAGTACAGTATGAATTATGATTTTATGTGAATGGAATTTGGGTTTCAAGAACAAGAGAATAACAGAAACTGGGGGCAGTGTGTAGGAAATTCACTTGATGAGATCATCAAAGAAATGAAGGGTATCTAACACAGTTGAAACAGTAACCCTTAAGACACAGAGACTGAGGAAGACTGAGACAACACTGGAATGACCAAAGACATTTTGTGAATAAGGATTATGTATTAAAGATGTATGCCTGAATGGTTTAGAGTACTTTT